GCAGTGGAGGATGGCCCAAGTCCTTGGGCCCTGCACCCCATGGGAGACCAGGAGAAGTACCTGGCTCCTGCCATCGGATCAGCGCAGTGCGCCGGCCAGAGCGCGCCGGCCGTGGCGGCCATTGGAGGGTGAACCAATGGCAAAGGAAGACCTTTCTCTCTGTCTCTCTCTCTCACTGTCCACTCTGCCTGTCAAAAAACAAAAAACAAACAAAAAAAACAAACAAACAAAAAAAACCTCAGTTAACTGCACAGATTAACGAGACACTCTCAAGGGAAGAACAATTAAGGGCACAGGTGTGTTAACTGCCAGCACCTAGGAGAGCACAGTTTTAGTGACTGGAAACAAGGAAGACAAAATGAACAAAGAGACAACAAAGATGGGGCTAAAATTTGTGAGACAATTTTGAAAAATCAGGATTTCAGCATGATACAGATACTTTAAAATCAACCAAAACACTACATGTCCTCTTATGGTTACCACATCAAGAGCACTGGTTCTTGAACTTTTGAATTTTTTAAAAACCAGGCAAAGAATGAGCTGTTGTTTCAGATATTAGCATGATCGTATTCCAGGTTGTTTGAATGACCAGTTACGTAAGATCTGCCAAAGACACCACACTCTCCCTGGCCCCATATGCTTCCATGGCAGTTATTCAGAATTCCAGAGCTTGAGAATACTAGGAAACCAATTTCTAGAATTTGTGGGCTTAGGCATTTATACAGACTGATATAATGGAAAGAGGTCAGGAGATCCTCAGCTAGGCAGCCATGGGTTTTAGAGCTGATCCCACCACTTTACTGTACAATCTCTGGCAAGTCATATAATAAATATCCGTATAATTTTGTCATCTGCAAAATAGTCATATTACCACTTGTAGAACTACTGGGATGATTAAGTTAAATATACTTAAATATGCGAGTATAAATGTGTAGACAGACTCTCAAGCTTGAGCAGGACCCCTGAGAAATGATATACTAGAAAGCTATTAGGAGCCAACCCCCAATCAATTAGGACGGCAGAATAGAGTGCCTTCCTAAACCACTCTCAAAGTTTTAAATGCCTGGGTATTTTTTGATTACAAGTGCATCATTATTTCCTATTTCTATTACCTAACTTTTTGAAAAGATCTGTGCTAGCTATTGTTTTGGTGGCTGGCAGAAGCATTTTACTTGGAGATGCAGCTCATTAAATTATCGTAAAGATTACCTGGCTGGTCTGTGCATATCCTTGAGTCGGCTGGGCGGTGTAAGCACTGTAGCTGCAAAAGAATTAAATGCAAGAACTGAATGGAGACCATGTGGATTTCACCACTGCATCTGCTACAACTACAGGCGGCTCTCTGCTCTAAAACATGCACCACAATACTGCTGTAGATGACTTACCCCTGCTGGGCTGCAGCTTGGCTGTAGGTACTGTAATCTACAGGAAAAAAGGAGAGAAAATAGTGTCAAGGTAGTGGAAACAAAAAGAAAAGAAAAAAGAAGGGGAAAGAATTCAGGTGGTAGAATTCTTTAAATTGTTTAGATTTTAAACTGACAGCCCCGCACAGGTCCAAATGAATACCTCTCATATTTCAACACAAAACAACAAAAACTCTATGCCAGTTAAACTTATATTTGAATATGGTGCTAGCTAATGAGATTAAGATCAGCTGATTCAGCAGTGGTACTTTGCCTGTTCCATGACCACAACCTCTCCAACCCCTTAACCACAGGCTGCCATTTCAAAGGGGACCATCACCCTAAGGTTAACAGAAAACAAGACCCACTACCAAGTTCTACTTTTGTATTAAAGAGAGACATGCGACATCACAATCTTTAACATCAGACTAGTTATAGAACAGCTGCATTCCCTCAAAAACAAGTTTGCCGCCACTCTCACAAATTCCACAACACGATGGGATGGCAGAAAACTCAGTGACAGCCACCACAATCGAGTGCTTGAAAGAGTTTGCTGACTGCGTCAGGGCTACATCTGTACAGTGACTCAAGAGCTAGATATTATAAATCCCAGTGAAGCCCAGTTAAGGCAGAATCCTAAAAACCAGCAAGAAGAAAACATTTAATCTTTTTGAGACTACTTTAGTTTTAGGTAACGCCATCGTATTTCTTGAAACTCAAAATGACTTCAACTTTTACAAATGTCACAAATTTTCTTCCCTTCTCTAAGTAAATGTTCCTGTAATTTAGAAGGGACTTAAACCTGATCCACTTAGCATCTACAAGTAGTAAAAACAAACAAAATAAAGTGGTTAAGAAGTTTTTACGCAAGTATTAAAGTCCCATTAAATTTAATTTAGTTTTTCCTTTTTAAAAAAGGTAATTATTTTTAAAAATCCTACCCAATTCCTTCCTCTCCACAAGAACACTTATCTTGTTCTATGTTTGAAGACAGTTCCGCCATTAGGCCCACCTTAAAGTAGTTCGCCGAACCCGCATACTGCAGTCTTTCCACCTCTTTACAATTCACTTGACTTGCCTTCCTCGGCTGACCCTTCCCTCAGAACCCTGAATCACCAACATCATCAAATCAACTGCCCAAAGATTACTGACCTATAATGAACAAATTCATCTGCTCAAGGCACTCAAAGCATTTTCAAGAGCACTCACTAGAAGTCACTTGTGACACACACAAATTAAATGCAAATTGTTTCTTCCACGTGGTATTCACAAATACATCAACGAAACACCTAAAACCTAACACCTTTCAACCTACATTTTGCTGAGGTTCTGTATGAGACGGGTCTAAATCACTGCACGGAAGTTCACCGTTTGCAAGAAGGCTTTCACACGAGAACACTTACATAAAAACTGGCAAAGCTGCCACGGAACTACTCATGACCTCAGATCAGTGTGAAACCACAGGTTTCAGCCTACACTGGTGGGCTCACAGAAGCAGCAAACTTGCTTCCTGAGAACTTCGGTCTCCCTACAGCACAAAAGCATCATACGACCTCAAACACGTTACAGTCACTTAATGGGTAGATTATCTTCCAATCGGTTGCTGTTAATTCCCAAACGTGCGGCTTTAGAACCTCACTAAAGACAGCGACATCGAGGGTGCTCGCAAACTTCTACTGCTGCTAGGCCTCAGCGGGAGCTCGCGGCAAGTCTGCAGGCAGTTCTTCATTACACTGCAAGGACGCTTTAGGTACCTGACATGACGCGTGCACAGAAGGACATCCACGATCACGCAGGCCCGAGTGGGGACTTCAGACTACATGCAGACCCCAAGTCAGCAGCCAGCAGCCCGGTCTGGGACGAGTCGCTTAGCTCTCAGGTCTCACCTAGCCTTCCCTGTCACCAGGTCTAGCCCAAGCCTTCAGATTCCCCCAGGGTCCCCCACAGAGCCCAGGACTGCGCGTCTACACAAACCACAGCTGGAACCCAGAGCAGTACACGGCGGCGGCTGGTGAAGAGCCCAGCAGGGCCTGGCGGGAACGTCCACATCCACGGTGCCCGCTCAGGCCGAGGCTGCACGCGGGTGCGAAGGGCACCGCCGGGCACCGGGCGCCGAAAGCTCACTAACCACACGGCTGGGCAATGCCGGACTCTCCCCGACCCCTCTTCTCCCTGGAGCCTGGGAGCCCCCCCACCACCACCACCAAACGTGGCCCTCGCTCGCGGCCAGTGACCGCCGTGGGGGCCCCCCAGACCCCGCCGGGCTGGCTTTCCCAAGCCCACGGCGCCCGCCCCCGCCTCCCTGACGTCCACCCGGTAAACAAGGCCGTGGGCCTCGCGCAGGCCGGAACACGCGCGGGCCGCCTCGGCCCTTTTGTTCCCCCTGGGTCAGGGGGTCCAGAAATTTCTTTCCGGTCTCCCGATCCAAGCTGGCCTTTATTATACAACGGCTCTCCCTCGGCGTGGGCTGGAAAAGGGGCCCCCGGGAAGCCACTTAATTGCTTTTCGGGGACGGCTGGCGCGCGCGCGGGGCGGGGGGTGGTGGTGGTGAACCAGTAGCAAAAAAAAAAAAAATAAAATAAACCAAACAAACAACAAAAAAGCAACTCGAGGGGAGCAGCCAACGGCTCGATCCCGCCCACAGCTCCATCGGGCACGAGTCGGGCGGGCGCGAGGGGCGCCGGCGCCCCCCGGCTCCCACATCCGCAAAGCCCTTTTATTTATTTATTTATTTATTTTGGGGTTGATTAGCTTTTCCCACTAAGCCTCCCCGTGATGAAGCGCACGAGGGCGGCCTCCCTGGAAATGGGGGAGGGGGCCGCAGGAGTCACGAGGGCAGCAGCCGCCGTTAGGGAGCTGCCTCCGGTTTCGGGGCGACGGAGCTCGAGGCCTGGCCGAGCCCCCCCTCCACTACCGCCTCCTTTCACGCGGGACCGCTGGCCCCGCCCACGTGGCGGGCGGCCCCGAGCGCGAGGCCCGATGACCGCCACACAATGGAGGCCGTGGCGGGCCCCGCGCGACACCGCGCGCCCCCGCCGCCACGAGCCCCCCGCGCGCCGGAAGGTTCCAGAACCGGCCCTCCCGGTGGGGGGAGGGGAGGGGAACGCGGGTCCCCGGGCTCGTCCGGCCGCGGCGGGTACCTCAACCCCCTCTCAGCAACTCCACTTAGTCTTCCCGGCCACCCCCCAGGGACGAAAGGCCCCCAGCCTGGGCGTCTCGGCTGTCGCCCGCACGACCGCAGTTCCCAACACTCACCCGTGGACGCCATTTTCTCTCCTTCCTCCTCGTTCTCTCAACGTCCGTCTCCCTCTCGCTTTCCCCCTAGGCGCCGCACTGCGCAGGCGCGAAACCCGCAACCTCGGGCGCTACCATCGGGCCAGGCCACGGGGGTGGGAGAAGGTGGGAGGTACCACCGCTTTTTCGATTTCCTCGCCCGAAACGTCGGCCCCTAACACTGTCTAAAGAGCGCCGGACGTGATACTCGGGCCAAAATAGCTCCGACAGGGCCGTGAGGCCGTGAGAAGGTCTCGGTATCAAACCGGAGCGATTCTCCTCACGAGGCGAGGTTGCTCGAAATGGTTACGTCCGCTGGCTCTAGGGACCGTCTCTGAAGAGTGTGTCCTGGAGGGAAACGGAGGCCGGCGGGAGGGCTGGGGGAAGGGATCCGGGCCCAGAACAACTGCTGACTAATCGGCGGGCGGCGGGGGAGGGGGCGGCCTGGCCGCTCGGCCGGGGTCACGCGCCCGGTGAGCGCGGAATGGGCTCGGGGGGCTCTTGGGTCTCGGCCGGGAGTTAAAGGAGTGCCGACACCCCCGGGGCCCCGCCCGGCCTTCCGGGGTCGGGGGCGCGCTCCGCAGTGAGTACCTCGGACGCGTGGCCCGGCTCGGCGAGGGAGGGGGCGAGGCCGGTCGGCTGGGTGGGAGGCCTCGAGCGTCGCGCCAGGCCCCGAGAGCCCCCCACCCCACCCCAGTAACGGTCGAGGTTGAGAAGGCCCTTTAATCACCCCCCTCATCCGATGCCCTTATTTTCACAGAAGGGGAAACTGAGGCCCGAGGAACTTGAGTGCTTTCCCTAAAGTTACAAAGCTGAGGTCGACCCAGACCCTGGGACTCCCCATTCTGCCCTCCTGGCTGCCCCGTAAGGTAGGCAGGGCCTGGTGGTGCACAGTCCCATTGCACAGATGGAAGGGCCTGAGGGCTCAGTCCCAGCTGTGTGTCCGTGGGCGAGCCCTGCACCCTTGCCCAAGGTGCCAGGGTCGGGGAGTGGCTGTGGAGGTGCAAGAGGTGGCTTGGAGCCGGTGCCTTGGCCCCAGACCCTGCTCCAGGCAAGGCTGGCGTTTGCCCACTTCCTGGACCTCAGCCCAGCCCCGGGTCGCTCTGCAGGACCGGGGGGGGCCACGCTGGTGTCTCTTTGCAAGCACAGAGGCAGCACCAGCTGGGCGTCGGGTACCCTGGGGAATCTGGGCGGTAATCCAAGTCCACGCATGCGCCTAAGAAAGGAGATCCCTGATGGGAGGGGAAGGGGACATTTGAGTTGGACTTGGAAGGGTGAGTAGGAGTTTGCCTACTGGGAGACGGAAAGATGTAGGCAGGGAGCTTTCTGCATCTTTCCCACCGGAAGCTGGCAGGTGCAGAGGATGCCATTGGCACGGGAGCGCATGAGGCAGTCTGCCGTCTCCCTGGGATCCTGCTTCCTGCTAGGAGTCCTGAGACAGAAGGCCCCGGCCAGGGGAAGGGGTGGGCGAGGGTAGGGCTTGTGGGGGCAGAGGGTGGCTGTATTTGAGGGCCATGGCTTGGGCCAGCTAGACTGAAGCTGCTTCTCTATTATGGCCGTCTCTTGGGGGCCACATGTGTCTCCTGCACTTAGTAGGGATAGTTGTGGTTAATTGAGCAGGGGCTGTACGCTGAAGTCTGCCTTAGCCCATTTCAGCTCTTTTCTTCCTTTCTTTTTAAAATATATTTATTTGAGAGCGCTGAATCCTAACCACTAGACCACCAGGGAGCATCAAAATGTATTTATTTGAAAGAGTTACTGAGATAGAGGGAAAGACAGAGAGATTGATCTTCCAGCTGCTGGTTCATTCTCCAGGGCCAGGCTGAAGCCAGGAGCCTCATCTGGGTGTCCCACTTAGGTGACAGGGGCCCAAGTACCTGAGCCATCTTCCACTGCTTTCTCAGGTCATTAGCAGGGAGCTGGATCGGATGCAGAGCAGCTGGGACTTGAACAGGTGCCCTTATGGGCTGCCGGCACTGCAGGCAGCAACTTAACCTTCTGTGCCACAGCGCTGGCCCATTTAGTTTTTAAGTGGACAAATTCCTTAAAGTTCTTGTTGTTGCGCCAGTGTTGTAGGACGGCCGGCCAACATGTTGCCTGGAACGCCAGCATCCCGTATCAGATTCGAATCCCAGCTGCTCCACTTCCGATCCAGCTCCTTGCGAATGTGCCTGGGAAAGCAGCGGAAGATGGCCCAAGTGGGAGACCCGGATAGCGCTCCAGGCTCCTGATAGGAAGCTGGATTAAGCTGGGCCAAACTGGCACCCTGATATGGGATGCTGGTATTACTGGCCAATCCTGTAATAGCTTTTGAGAAGGCTTATTTACTATATTTACTTATTTGAGAGGCCAAGTGACAGAGAGAAGGGCAGAGATCTTCCGTTCCCTGGTTCACTCCTCAAATGCCAACAGCTGGGGCTGGGCCAGGCTGCAGCCAAGAGCCAGGAACTCCATGTGGGTTTGCCATGTGGGTTATTCGAGCCAGGTGATCTGCCGCCTTCCCAGGCACAGCAACAGGCAGCCGGATAGGGAGTAGAGTAGCCAGGGCTGGAACCAGGCGCTTGCATGTGGGATGCAGATGCCGGAAACCTGGCGAAACCTGTTGTGCCTCAAATCGGAAGGGATTTCTTTAATCCCCATCTTAACAGATGAGGATGGAGGGGCCAGATGTTGAGCGGCGTGCCTGAGGACATGCTACAGAAAGAGGTGGAACAGAGTGGGACTTTTCCTGTGGAACGGGGAGCCAGGGCCAGAGGGGCTGTGGGTAGGGCCGGGGAGATGATGTGGGCTGGCTCGGGGTGTGGGACTCCTGCTCCCTGCCCCTCTCCTCCAGCCCTCCATCCACCTGCTTGGCCATCAGCTGGGCCCTGGGTGATGCTGAGGCCACCTGGAACGCTAAGGCTGGGCCCAGAGGCAGGTGGAAGGTGGCAGCCCCAAGAAAGAGGGAGGCCGAAAAGGGCTGGAGATGGCCCTGACTTTGCCGTGGGCAGTCCAGGCCCGCAGGCCAACCTGACTGGCTCTGTGCCTCCCACCTGAGACCCCTCTTGAGGGCCTATCAGGACTTGGGCATCTTTGTGCCTGTCCCCTGCCCATCCTTGCACACAGACAGGTGCAAGATGGCTAAGTGAGCCCTTGGTTTAGGGTCTGAGCTCCTCTGTGGCCAACCAGCTGGGCCTGTCTCTCCTGCCTCAGTTTCCCCCCTCTGTACAAGGGAGCTGCCGGTAAGGTAGGAGAGTGAGGCAGGGAGAGAAAAACTGCAATAACTCGTGTTACTGTTTCTTTCATCCCCAGCACACAGCCCCAGGACCACCTTGGCTGCCTGCCATAAAGACATGTACACCAGGGACCCTGCGGGCCAACCGGCTCGGGCGCTTCCTCTCGCCTCCTCAGCCCTGGTGCTGCTGCTGGGCAGCCTGTGGCTGATAGGGGCCGGCCCCAGCCTCGCCCTGGCCCCGGAGCTGCTGCTGGACCCCTGGCAGGGTGAGGGAGGCCCCCGGGAGGAGGCCTGAGTGGTTAGCGGGAGCAGCGTGCTTCCCACAGGGGTGGAACCCAGTGCCTTGGGGATTGGGGAAGGTTGGGCTCGGACAGGCGTGTGCCCAGCTCACCCACATCCACAATAGGGAGAGGGGGCAGAGGGCCTGGCAGAGGGTCGCACGGGAATCCAGAGTCAGGAGTTCTTTTCTTGACCTAAGTATCGTTTCCAGCTAAGCAGGACGGGAGGAGGTGCTGAGGGCTCAAGGGGTGGCCTCGGCCCAGTGCCTGTTTCTCGGTCACAGTTGCTCCAGTTTACACTGGAGGCGCCCAGATGGTGCTCAGAGAGGTTAAGCTGTTTGTCCAAGGCCACGCGTCCTGGATCAAGGCAGGCAGTGTCGTCAGGATGCATTCTGTCAGTGGGGTGTGAAGGACCTCCCTGTGCACGTGTGCCTGGGACAGGAGTCCCCGGTACCTGGCTGCTGGCGCAAAAGCAAGATCTGAGTAGTGGGTGTAGCCTGTTCCGCTTAGCGCAGCCAGGGAGAGCTGCAGGGTTTGGAAGCCCTGGGTCCCCTCCATCCGTGGTGCAGTGCAGGCTGGGAGCACTCTGGCTCCTGCGAGGGGAAGGCTGGCTCAGCGGGTGGCCCTAGCACACTGGGGACAACCTGAGAGGTCGGGGCCCCTTACCTGGCACATAAGCCCCTTCTCTCTCCCAGCGCATCGGCTCCTGACCCATGCCCTGGGCCACACGGCCCTGCCGGGCCTACTTCTGAGCCTGCTGCTGCTGCCCACTCTGGGCTGGCGGCAGGAGTGCCACCTGGGCACGCTGCGGTTCCTGCACGCCTCTGTCCTGCTCACCCTGGCCGCCGGACTGCTGGCTGTGCTGCTGGCGGGCCTGGGGGTGTCGAACGCTGCTGGCGGCTGCGGGTACATGCCCGTCCACCTGGCCATGCTGGCCGGCCAGGGGCACTGCCCTAGGCAGCCCCAGGGGGCCCTGCCACCGTGGCTGCTGCCGTGGCTGCTCCTCGCCCTGACCCCGCTGCTCAGCTCCGAGCCACCCTTCCTGCAGCTCCTCTGCGGCCTCCTTGCTGGCCTGGCCTGTATCCTTTGCCTGAGTTCGGGGCCTGTGTGGACAGGTGGGTTCTGTGGCTGGGCTGCTGGGAAGCAAGTGGCATGGGGGGTCAGGCCTGAGAAATGCAGAAGCTGTGTGCACACATTTCCAGGGACAGCTCTCTGGGCCATGCTCTGAGCTGGGGACTGTGGGCTCAAGGTGAGGTGGAGGCGCCAGGTGCAATGGGGAACCCGGGAGAGCCGAGGTAGCCCGAGGAGCCACTAACCAGGACCCTCCTGTGGAGGTGGCATCTAAGCTGAGATGTGCAGGCCAGGCAGGGGGCACAGAAGGCCAAGGCCAGAGCAAGCTTGGGGTCTCTGGGAAGAGTAGCCTGTAGCCAGTGGGGCAGGGGCATAGGCGGTCAGTGTTCATCAGGAAGGCCACTGCCATGGCCGCTGGAGAGAACAGGCTGAGCCCCTGCATGGTTCTGAGGGAGGAGCCTGTTCTGGACGGGGGACACAGCTGCCCCGGATGTGTGAGGACAGCGCTGGCCTGGCTGGGGGCAGGTCTCACAGACCTGAGCGGGCACACGGAGCGGGCCAGGGTGGCTACCGTGCAGGCTGAGTTTGGGTTTTAGGGCTCACATGGTGACACGCTCCTTACGGGACCACAGTGAGGAGAGCGGAGGGGAGTCCCGGCACCTGGGGGAGGGGGGCACACCCCCAGCCAGTTCTGGTTTTCCTTGACCAGTTGCCCTGCCCCGGGCAGCCAGATGCCGCCGGGGCCTTCCAGTGGCTAGAGCTGTCGGAGCAGCGGCTGCAGGCCCTGCAGGAGGGCGCCCTGTGCAAGACGCTGGCCGGGTGCTGGCCTCTGAGGCTCCTCCCCACGCCGGGCAGCCTGGCTGAGCTGCCCGTCACCCAGCCGGCCGGAGTGAGGTGAGGAAGTCGCCGCGGCCCCTGGCGCTGGCGGCCGTGGCCGTGGCCCGTGGTGACCCCTCCTGCTTCTGCCCCCCAACAGGACTGCCATCCCTGGGCCTCCTTACGTGGTCTCCCCTAGTCCCTGGTCCCGCAGCGACAACCCAGCCTTCCCGCCAGGCCTGAGCTGGGAGAGCGTGGACTGGGCCAGGCCCGGCTTCTCCACAGAGCCCTCCGTGTGGGCGACGCTGGATGAGCAGCTGTTGCAGGAGGGGATCCAGGCCTCGCTCCGGGACGCCCCGGCGCAGGAGCCGCAGAGTGCGTTCTGGCTGCCCAAGTCCTCTGTGTCCTCTCTGCGGTAAGACGGGCTGGGCAGGGGTGGGCCCGGGCCAGGGGGCTGGTTCGGTCCTGACCCCGCTCTCTGTCCCCCGCCCACCCCCGGGCCCTCACAGGCTGCAGCAGCTGGAGCGCATGGGCTTCCCCACAGAACAGGCCGTGGTGGCACTGGCAGCCACAGGCCGCGTGGAGGGCGCCGTGTCACTGCTGGTCGGAGGGCAGGTGGACGCCGAGGTCCTGGTGACCGAGGGGAGGGCAGGCTCTGCCCACCCCAAGGGCCCTGGGCCCCCCTAGCTGCAGCAGAGAGTGGGGCCACAGAGAATCGCCTGGGTAACGAAGCCGGGCCCTGCTGTCCATGGAGCGCCGCAGCACGCCGCCCTGGTTGTGGCTCTCATTTAGAATAAAAACCAGTCTGGTTCGGTCTGGACCTCCCGGGAGGCAGCACTCGGGTTTGACTCGTGTGTGGGCATGGGGTGAGTGAGTGAGTGAATGACCGACCGCAGCTCCTTGGTGTCTGGAACCCCAGGACTCTTGCCCCTGTGCTGGTGCAGCCTCTTCCTCCAGGAAGCCCGCCCAGGCCCTCTGCCAAGCAGCACCCTTCCCTACTCTGCTGGTGCCCACGTCAGGGTCCCCCGCGGCCGGCCCCGCCCGGCTGCCTCCATCTAAGCACACGCTGAGCCCGGGCTGGGTCGGAGGCCTTTATTGGCCAGCACACAGCCAGCAGGTGGCCCCTTTCTCTGCACGTCCCCACCCTCTGCCCAGGGCACTGGTGGGGGCGGGGCCGAGGGGCTCAGGGGCAGACCTGAGGCAGGGAGCCCCCGACTGTCCAGAGATGAAGCAGCCTGACCTCAGGGCAAGCCAGCACCAGACAAGGAGGGCAGGGGTGCAGAGCGGCACCCCGAGATCTGGGGAGGAGCGGGCAAGGCAGAGCTCCGGCTTCCCACTGCCTCGGGGCCTCAGGCCTGGGTCCCCAGACAGTGGACGCACCCTCCCTGAAGACCAGCACCGCGCCGTCCCAGAGGGAAACTGAGGCCCAGGGCCCTGAGCACTGCCTTACCCCTGGCCTGGGCTGCCACTTCCCTCCCAGGCCCTACTCTCCCCTGGTCTCAGACTGGGACGGGGGCGCCAGCACTGACACCTGCCCACCCCCCTAAGGCGCTGACGGCAGAAGGGTCCCTGAGGACATCATAAATAGGGACAGCGGTCCCTGGCGGCAGCCGGCCAAGGCCAGGCTCGGAAGGGAAGCTGGCCTGGTCCACCCCGAGGGGCCTCCGCTGCCCTCAGCCTCTCTCGTTCCGGCTTCTAGGGGCCACGATCCGGTAGCTGGCTGCGTGTCCTCCCCTCTTGCCCCGAAGGAGGCTGGGGGTGCCCGCCCCGGCAGGGCCTGCGCCGGAGCCCAGCTCTGGTTCTGCGGGAGGGAGGGAGAGAAGGCAGGTCAGCAGGGCCCTGCAGGGTGCCCGTCTCCCCGCGTGCGACCCCCTGGGGGCGGCAGGTGTGTGTAGGGGGGAGGGGCCTACAGCGGTAAGGGCGCCTCCGGGGGGCTTCCCAGCCCCCAGCCCAGCGAGAGCACTCGGCCTCGGGCCTCCACGTGGCTCCTGCTGTGGGGATAACCAGACTCCCCCCCCCCCCCCCACACACACCTAGCACACAGCGAGGACCCAGCATGGTTTTCCTGTTCCTCAGTTGGGGGTGGAGGTGTGCCTGGGGCCACCCTGGTCTCACAGGTAAACAGGCTGGGGAACACACCCACAGTCCCTCTGTCCTTGGGCTGAGCCAGCAGCTGGGGGAAAGGGCTTAGGAGGGCCAGGCTCTGCCACTGACCGCCAGTGCAGCCTCTGTAGGGCCTCCCTTGTTCCATCTGTCAAATCAGACTTCCACGTCCTGGGCAGCTCCAACACTTACCGCACTCAGTCCCAATAGGGCTGTGCTGAGACAAGCCTCACCCTGGACACAGCCATACCCGAGAGTCTGACTTCAAAACTGGCATACTTGCCACTTGGAAAACTCCTGCTCATCTTCAAAACCCAGAGCAGGAGCCACCTCCTGCAGGAAGCCTTCTGGGACGATCACCTCAGTCCCTCCTGAAGTTAAGTGACCTGCTCAGGCAGGCGTGTAGGCTCCCAGGGGAAAAGGGACATCTGGGGAGGCCAGCCCAGGATGGAGGAGGTGCTTGTGCCTCCACGGCTCCGTTCACAGCACAGATGCTTCGGACTCTAGTGAGCACACCCGCTGTCCCCGGAGGGCCCTGCGGGAACCGGGCCTCAGCCTAGCTTCCAGTGCCCAGCCCTGTGTGCCCCAGCCTCGCTCCTGGAGCAGACTGGCACATGTGGTCACTGTCCAGGGTCAGTCCTGCACCAGGGAGCTCGGGACGTGGTGGCATAGAGCCCTGGCTCCAGCACAGGCCACAGTCGGGTCCTGGCCCCATCCCATCCCGGTTCCGGGGCCTGGGCGACGTGGAGACGAGACTCCCGTCGGCACCCCCGCGCCCCGAGGCTGCTGAAGTGACCAGGGGTGGAAGGAGGTGCTGACAGTGCCTGCTGGGTTATCACGGTTAGCAGGCCGTGTGGCCCCGGCCCAGGTCTCCTGCAGATCTGTCCCTGAGCTGGTCACAGGCCGCCGTCGTGACTCTCAAAACTGGGGTCCTGGCTTCCCCGGGTTCAGCAGAGGTGTCAGTGCACCTCTACTTCCTCATCTGAGAAATGGCCACGGTGCTGCCCACTAGTGAGCTGAGTGTGGGAATGGGAGACGATCGGGGCGAGCCCCCAGCCCAGCTGGGCCCCCCGTGCGGCAGCCGTTCCTATCAGCACCAGCAGCAATGAGGACCTACACACAAGGCCACCTGGGTCTTTAGTTAGCACCTGATGTATACGCCGAGCCTGTGGGGCGGCTCCCATCTCCTTCCCTCCCCCCTTCCCATGCAGGTCCCTCACCCACGGTGGTCAAGGGCCACCCTCCCGGGCGTGTGGGCCCCAGAGTTCCCCCCGCCCCGGGCTGTCAGAAGGAAGGGAGGCTCAGCTCCAAGGCCACCGTGGCCCGGTTCCCCCGTGTAAGGCGCGAGGCCGGGAGACGGTCACCGACGTTTCTCGGGGGTACCTGTGGCGGGGTGGGAGGGCTCTGGCCACAGGCCACACCCACTTGAAAGCCCCCGGGGCTCTGCCCATACAGCATTCTCCACAGGGCAGCCCCTCCTCCGCCCCACCTGGCACACTCAGGCTCTCCGGGACCCGACGCCACTGTCCCTTCTCCCAGGAAATCCTCTGCACCCCCACGCCCCCAGCACCTTGCTCCCCACATCCACGGAGGAGTCCCAGCCCGTGCCTGGCCCCAGTGCCCACCGGGTGTGTTCCCTATGGTTTTGCTGAAGGCGGGAGGCTGGGCCCTAACCTTGACCTCCTTCCCGCCCGGGGCCCCCATTCCTTCCTCCGTAGGAGAGGCGCGAGTTGATGCCGAGGGCCCTGCACCGATGTGCTGGCTGAGCTGCGAGCAGCCCAGGCCCTGGGGAGGCCACTTCCTTCCTCCCACAGGGCCAGCCCCAGCTCCAGTTCAAGGGGTGGGGAGGGGGTGGGAGGAGTCTCCTTAGCTTTGCCCTCAGGAAGCAGGTGCAGGGAGAAGGTACTGCCCACCTGGCGTCTGAGCCAGCGCCACCCAGCCTGCCTTGCGGGCCCTGTCAGGTTCCTGAGCCCTGGCCCTCACCGTTGCTTATGCTTTTCCTGTGCCTGTTTGCCCTCTCCGGATCCCTGTCCCTCTAGGTCTTCTCTTAGACCCCATCTCCTCCAGGAAGCCCTCCCCCGCCTTGGGGCCTGGGCCACCTGTCTTCACTCCGCTGTGGTCCGGCTCCCCTCGGGTTCCCCAGTCCCCAGCCCGCAGCCCCGGAGCTCGGGGAGGGCAGGGCAGGGCAGGGTCTGTCTCCTGTGTCATAGCCTGTGTCTGCAGGGTGCCCGGCACGCAACGAGTGCTCACTCACTGCGCGCCAGTTCCCGGAGGGGAGGGTGCAGCTGAGCGTCCGCGGGCCTGGGCCCAGCGTGAAGAGGAGCCTTCTGCACACACAGGCTTTCCCCCAGCCCTGCTGGAAGGGGCTGCCCCTGCCTGCCCGCCCTGAGTTACCTGGCCAGATGATGGCTTCCAGCAGGGTGACCCGTCTGGCCAGGAGCTCCAGCTGAGCCTGCTGCTGCAGGAAGCTCTGTAAGCTAGGAGCCTGATGGGAGATCGAGAAGAGCAGAGGTGCGAGTCTGGCCTCTCAGGGCTGGGCTGGGGGGCTGAGCGGGGAGCATGGCCGTGCCAGCTGGCTTCGGGGCGGGAGGTGGGGACAGGGCTTCTCTGTGGGGAACGGCTGGCTCTCCGGGGGCTCCGGCAGGGCAGGTTGGGAGGACCACAGGTGAGACGGCAGGAGGGACACTTGGGGCCAGGAGGGCCTGCCCTGCAGGAGCCTCTGGGGGCTAATGGGAGAGGATGGTCAGAAATGGTAGGTGATGCATTACCCAGAGTGCCCTGGGGACTTGCACTTCTGGAGTCCACGATTTCTCTAGAGCTGGAACATGGCTCCATTACCCACAATCCTCCTGGGGGGTCTGGGTTCTGATGTCACCACCCACAATCCTCCTGGGGTCTGGGTTGTGAGGTCATTACCCACAATCCTACTGGGGGGCCTGGGTTCTGATGTCACTACCCACAACCCTTCTGGGATCTGGGTTCTGACGTCATTACCCAAAATCCTGGGGGTCTGGGTTCTGACATCACCCACAATCCTCCTGGGGGTCTGGGTTCTGACGTCATTACCCACAATCCTCCTGGGGGTCTGCGTTCTGATGTCATTACCCACAATCCTCCTGGGGGTCTGGGTTTTGACGTCATTACCCACAATTCTCCTGGGGTCTGGGTTCTGATGCCACCACCCACAATCCTCCTGGGGTCTGGGTTCTAACATCATTACCTACACTCCTCCTGGGGGTCTGGGTTCTAATATCATTACCCACAATCTTCCTGGGGTCTGGGTTCTAATGTCATTACCCAAATCCTCCTGAGGCCTGGGTTCTGACATCATTACAATACTCCTGGGGTCTGGGTTCTGACATCATTACCCACAGTCTTCCTGGGGTCTGGGTTCTGATGTCATTACCTACAATCCTCCTGGGGGTCTGGGTTCTGACATCATTACCCACAATCCTCCTGGGGGTCTGGGTTCTGACTTCATCGCCCACATTCTTCTGTGCTAGGTTTGGCTCTGTTACCCACAACCCCCTATTGGTCTGGAGTCTGGTTCTATTGTCCATAATTTCTTCCAAACTCAGGATCTGTCGTCTCGGGCTCCCCACAGGCCTGAGAACACACGAGCCGCCACAGCTGGAGCCCCAGTTCCTAGGGCCGCTGCCAGCTGTGGAGGAGGGGGGACAGTCGCAGAGGGAGAGGTGGTTCTGGCCTTGCGGGCCCACCCTGGCCCAGGCAACACCTTCTCGCCCCGTGACTGGGCTCAGGCCAGTTCCACCCCAGAAGGGCTTGGGGGAAGGCTGGCAGGCAGGGGCTGGGCTGTCTGTCCGTCTGTCTCTACTCACCATAGAGCCCAATCATTGTTTCCAAGATTAAAACCCTCTCAGCTAAAATCTTCAAAGCCTCGCGCAGTTGGTGCAACCCCTCCCCCTGCGGAGGAAAGAGACAGATGCAGCCGTGAAGGGGCAGGGAGGCGCCCTGCGAAGCCTGTGGGTGGCCCACGCCCACCCAGGGGCACATGCACCTGCAGCCCAGGGCCCACGGACAGCCAAACAAGGCCGGGAGGACAGGACGGGGGCAAGGCAGGCGGAAGCCCCCCGGAGGACCCCCTCAGGAAGGGCCGGTGGCCTCTAGCTGTCTCTCTGCACTGGGGGCTGGGGGGCTGGGGAGCCCGAGAGCCACCCCTGCACAGCCCCTGTCACATCCTTGGGCCGCCTCTACTCCTGGCCGCTTCAAGTGGCCTCTCCCTACTTAACCCCATCAGGGACATCAGCCCCCTGCTGGTGTTTCCATCCAAGTCAGAACGCACGCAGCTGGGTAGCCACAGAGACCGTGGGTGCAGGGGCCCGCGAGCCCTTCCCAGCCCCTCCCATCCTGGGCCCCTCCCGGGGAAGCAGCGCTCGGCCTGGCCAGGGCTCGCACCACTCCAGGCCCGTGTCCTCGTGCCTGCCGGGGCGCCACCCCCAGCCCGGCTCCCTCCTGCAGGCATGCGGCGGGAGGCTTCCCCACATGCCAGGTGGTCCCGGCATGCCCACATAGCTGGCACTCACCTTCACTTCCTCTCTGACTTGCCTCCCCTTGCCCCCACTCCGTCCCCCTCCTGGCTCCTTCTGCTTCCTGGTAAATGCAGATACAGAGCCCAAGGACGGCAGAGAATTATCCCAGCCCCGATGCCATCGGCAAGTCCCTCCGGGCACCCTTTACCGTCACTGTATGTAACTGCACAATTACACTCCGACCCTCTAAGGCGGCTGCTGCCATGAGAAACGTGCCGACGGCGCAGGCACTTGGCTCAGCTGTTGACGCCGCTCGGCACGCACCCGAGAGTGTGCGTTAGAGTCCCAGCTTTGCTCCGGATTCCAGCTTCTGCCGGGCAGCAGCAGGCGACGCTTCAAGTACCTGGTCCCTGCCGCCTTTGCGGGGACCCTGACCGAGTTCCCGGCTCTGAATTCACAGTCTGAATTCTGACTCTGGCCTGGCCCAGCTGTGGCTGTTGCAGCCATCAGGGGAGTGAATCAGTGGATGGAAGATCTCTCTCCATCTCTCTCTCTCTCTCTCTCTCTCTCTCTCGGCCTTTCATACAAAATGAAAATAACTCATCTTTTAAACAATCCAAACCACCGCCACGTCCACTGCGAGCGAGCCTGCTCCCCAGGGCTGATGGCCACATCCCGTGGACCAGGCAGGCCAGGTGTTCCAGGGCCACCACGGGCCGCACACTCGAGGGATCCGTCCTCGGGCATTATGGCAGCAGCATGTGAACAGGGAGGGCCTCTGAGGTTACCTGGTCATTCCCAGCATGAATCTCTCGAGGAGAGGCAACCAGAGGGTGCCCGCTCCTGCCGACAGTACCTAGCCGGCCTCTCACCACCAACAAACCGAGACGGTGCAACACTCACAAAAGGCCCAAGTCAGAGAAGCAAGGGGCAGGAGACGTCACCCACGTTCAGAGAGACTTAGGGGCGGGCGTTCTGGTGCGACGTGGGACGCCCACTTCCTGCCCACTTCCCTGGTTCAAGTACTAGCTACTCCACTTCCGGCCGAGCTCCCCACTAAGCTTGGGAAAGCAGCGGAAGAAGGCCCAAGTACTTGGACCTCTGCCAGCCACGTAGGAGACCAGGATGGAACTCCTGGCTCCTGGCTTCAGCCTGGTCCAGCCCCAGCCATTTTGGCCTCTTGGGGAATGAACCAGCAGCTGAAAGATCTCTTTTTCTCTCCCTCTTTGCTTTGGAATTAATTAATGATAAAGGAGACTTAGAAATGTGACAACCAAATGCAATTTGTTAACCTTGATTAGATCTTGAAGGTTTTTAAGAGCTTTAGAAGCAAGTTTGGGGCAAGTGGTAGGATTGCCTTCTAAGTTACATACTAAAGGGCTTCACTTTCCTGAATTAATGTTATCTTCCCTAGATGTGACAGTAGCATTGAGGTGACCTGGGAGAATGGCCGTATTTTCTAAAAAATTAATTATTTGAAAGGTAGAGCATGAGCAAGAGGAGAGAGAGAGATTCCCCAGCCACTGATCCACTACCTACAGCTGGGGATTGGCCAGGCTGAAGCCATCTGGGTCTCCCACATGGCTATCAGGGGCCCAAGCACTTGGGCCATGTTCTGCTGCCTTCCCAGGCACATTAGCAGGGAGCTGGATCGGAAGAGGAGCAGCCGGGACTTGAACCAGTGCTCTGATGTGGGGTGCTGGTGCTGCAGGCGGCAGCTTAACCCGCTGCACCACAACTCTGGCCCTGCCACGTGAGATGCACACTCAACCGTCATGGGAGAACACAGACGACATTTGCAGCTTGCTTTTGGATGAATTAGAAAAAAAGTTTATGAAGAGAACTTTATATAGAGATAGTAATTGTGGCAAAATACTACCAATTGTAGTAACAAATGTCAAAGAAGACCAGAAAGGCATTGAACTAATTTTCTGTATATGTGATAATTTTCAAAAATAAAAATCTGGGGGGAGGTATAAAAAAAGCCACGGTGGGGCCAACGCTGTGGTGTAGTGGGCTAGGCCTCGCCTGCAGCTCTGGCATCCCATATGGGCGCAGGTTTGAGTCCCGGCTGCTCCTCTTCTGGTCCAGCTCTCTGCTATGGCCTGAGAAAGCAGCAGATGATGGCCCAAGAGCTTGGAAGCCCCTGCAACCTACATGGGAGGCCTGGAAGAAGCTCCTGGCTTCTGATCAGCCCAACTCTGGCTGTTGCGGCCATCTGGGGAGTGAACAGCAGATGGAAGACCTCTCTATCTATCTCTCCCTCTCTTTCTTTGTAACCCTACCTCTTAAATAAATACGTAAAAATTTTTTTAAAAAGCCACTGTTTGGTCCCCTGCCTGCAGGCCCACCCCACGCTCTTGGATCTGGGCCTGCTGGATGCCCCCACGTGGCTGTAATACAGACGTCGCCCAGCTCTCTGTGGACAAAACTCAGGATGCTCGCTTCTCCTGGTTCTCTTTAAAGAAATTATGAGGCAGGCAGACACACACACACACACACAGCTCTCACTGCTGGTTCACCTCTCCTCTCTTCCCCCAAATGCCTACAACAACCAAGGCTGGGCCAGACTGAAGTCAGGAGCCAGGAACTCAAGCCAGGTCTCCCATGCGGGTGGCAGGGACCCAAGCACTTGAGCCGTCACTGCTGCCTCCCCGGGTGTGCATCAGCAGGAAGCTGGAGTCAGGAGTGGAGCTGGGACTCAGACCCAGGCCCTCTGATGCAGGACGTGGGTGTCCTAACCTGCGTCTCGGCCACCGGGCCAAACGCCCGACCCGTCCCCGTCCTCCCTTACTCTTTCAAGAATTCCCCGACTCTCTGCTGCCCCTCCTGGCCAAAGGGGCATTGCAGGGTCTCCCAGCTCTGCTGCCAGCTCTCTGCCCTCACTGTGCCCAGCTCCAGCTCCCACGGTCACTGCCAGGATGACCACAGCAGCCTCCTGTCCAGTCTCTCTCCTGCTCCTTTCATGTTCCCCTGTCCCCATCCAAGTCCCCGCAAGGCAACCAGGAGGATATTTCACAAACATCTGGCCACGTCACTCCCCGGCCTGGAAGTATTTCAATGACCCCCATTTCTCTAAGGTCAGCTTTGTGATGCGGCCTCTTTGGCCTGTCTCACTCCTATCACACTGTCCACTCTAAGTATTCCAAGCTCCACAAACAGCCCAGGGCCTTTGCACATGCAGCTGCCCCTCCTTTGTCTGAATGCCCTGGGCCTCGTTTATGGGCCTTTTGGGCCCAGCCAGGCCCACCTCGTGGAGGAAGCTAAGTCTCCCACTGGAGTAGAACTCCCTCTACCCTACTGTGGCTGACCCCAAGGCAGGGGGCAGGTGGGTCTGGACGGCATCTACACACACAGGGCCCGCCTCGGATCTGGCACCCACAGAGGAGATTCTTAGAGAATGCCGGGCGCCGGTTCTGGTTCTGCCAAGGATTCACTCTGCCGAGTTACGGCTCAGCTCCCCCAAGGGTGGAAGCTTTCATGTAACTACATCCACTAGCTCAGCCTAGTCTTGTTCCTGCAGTGCCTGCCGAAGTCCACCAGGTGTCAGTGCTGAGTCAGGCCGGTGGAGAATTAGATGGGGTATGGGGAGGGGAGCTTCTGGGGACCCTGTCGACACTGGGCTCAGTCCGCACCTATCCCCAGCCCCCAAGCCTCATGCAACCCCAAGCCCAGCGGGCGCCCTCCCAGGCAGGCAGCAAGCAGGGGCGGAAGTGCAGGTAGATGAGGGGGAAGAAGGTGAATGGGCAGGGGCCCTGCTACCTCCCACAGGTGGATGTAGGTTCAAGGCCTGGTCTGGGGTCGCCCAGGCACATCCTGTTCCCCTGGCCAGGGGTCCCCATGCAGGGCCAGGACTGCCCAGCCTCATTCTGCCTTGACCTTGTCTGTCTCACCAGCCCTGGGTGTGTGCGTATGCGTGCAAGTGTGTCTAAAACCTGTTCCCAGCTGAGAGTCTCTGAGAGCAGAGAGAGGCCCCAGGGAGGCAAGGGCCTGGACTCACAAGGGCCTCCCTGGCCCCAGCCCGGCTCATGTCCATCCTGAGCCCTGGAGCCACAGAAGAGGGGTTCTGAGGGACTGCAGGGGTGGAGAGGTAGCAGGGCCCCAGAGGTCCTGGGGAGACAGGGGGAGGACTCGTGCAGGGTTGGGAGGGGGCTCCCACGGCTGTATCCGTCACTAACCCCACAATCAGGAAGTGAGGGGGCCGGGCGGGCGCTGGGTGCTGCCCACACCCTACCCACCGGCGGCTGCCAGGAAGCAGTGTCCCAGGCAGGTGGGGAGAGAGGCAGGACTCCCGCCGCTAGAGGGCGTGCGGCGTCTCTCCGATGCCTCCTGGGGCTAGGATTTCCAGGTCCCCGCGCCCCGACTTGGCGCTGCGGGGGTGCTCGGGGTTCCTAGCCCTGCCCCCACGCGTCTCTAGGGTCAGCAGTTTCCTAGGCCTTGAAATGCATTCACTCCAATGTCCTCCGATGGCTTTAAAGGTTTTCAGGGGCCCCGCACTCATCGTGGAGTCTCAGGACGTGGGGTGTGGGGGGCTCGCTCCTCACGGACTCTGCCCCCTGCATAGGTGACAGCTTCTAGGCGTCTCTTGCCACGCCCCACGGGTCTCCTGTGTACGTGACAGTGTCAGGGCTGTGGCAATTACGGGGTTTGTGGGTGCTCCTGGCCCCAGCCTGCCACGCCACGCCTCGTGGATTTCCTGGGTGCACAGAGATGTCCGGGTTCCCTGCCCCTCTGTGGCTGGCTCCCGTCCCCCGCCTTGTGCCTATACTCCTTGCTATGATGCTATGATCTCGGCTGTCCTGAGGCCACCCCGCCCCATCCAGTTCCTCCATGTGGACCCCATCTCTGTTTCTCTTCCTTCCACAGATGCAGGGAGCAGAGACTGGAGGTCCCTTCTGGGAGGGGCTCCTGGGGCAGGGGACGTAGTCTGGCTGGGGGGCAGCCCATAGTGCTCAGGGGGCGCGGGCAGAACCACCCTGGCCTGGGAAGGTGGAACTGAGACAGAGACAGAGACAGAGAGGGCGGGCCCTGCCTGGCGGGGAGTGACAGGGCTGGGGAGGGGCCCGGGGCTGAGGACTGCAGGCCTGGGAGCCCGGGCTGCAGTGGGACACGAACAGGGCACCAGAAGGCAGCGGGAGGCTGGGGCTGGGCCAGAGCTTACCCAGTGGCTTTTCTCGCCGGGGTCTCCCTTGGGGCCAGGTTCACCCTGCAAAGAGAAGTGGAGAAACAATAAGGGGGGGAAAGGAGGAGCACTATATATATCTACGGCTTGGATGTGGTTTGAGGGCATCCCCTACCCCCAAAGGGTCCCCAGCATGGTGGCGTTGAGACAGTGGGGTCTTTAAGAGGTGGGGCCCAGGGGCCGGGGCTGTGGCGTAGCAGGTAAAACCGCCACCTGCAGTGCCAGGCATCCCATATGGGCACTGGGTCGAGTCCCAGCTGCTCCATGTCCAATCCAGCTCTCTGCTAATGGCCTGGGAAGGCAGTGGAAGATGGCCCCCAGCGCCAGCCTTATCTCTTTTCTTTATAAAGTACCTGGCCTCAGGTACTCTGTGACAGCAAAAAGAAAATGGAGACAGGGATGGAGAGCAATGGGGGGAGGGAGGGAGAGAGACTTAGAGACACAGGGACAGGGCAGCACGTACGGCACCGACACTGGATTAAAAAAAAAAAAAAAAGAAAAAGAAAAAAAGCAACTCTTTGGGTGCAGTGGGAAGTGACCAAGAGCAGCCAGAAACTGGAGGGTATCCAACCCCTGAACACAGAGAACCACTCTGAGTAAAGTCAATGTATCCCTAGGTACCCATTAATATTAACTTATTTGTTTAAAAGCCAGAGAGAGGGAGGGAGAGAGGCAGAGAGGAAGAGAGGGGGAGGGAGAGCGAGAAGTTTTCTCCCATCTGCTGCTTTATTTCCCAAATGTCTTCCATGTCCAGGGCTGCCCAGGCCGGAGCCAGGAGCCAGGAATTCCATCCAGGTCTCCCAAGCAGGTGGCAAGGACCCAACTACTGGTGCCGCCACCTGCTGCCTCCCAGGGTGCACAGTAGCAGGAAGCTGGAACTGGGAGTGGCAGCAGGGCCTGAGCCCAGCCACTCGGACGCTGGATGCGGGGGTTGAACTTCACCGCCAGGCCCAAGGCCCGCCCTAAACATCTGTGTATTTATGGCTTTGCCCCCAGCCTGGCAAACAGAACGCATGGAAACTTCCGCTTCATTGGCCTGAGGACTCAGAGGTAGTAGTTGAGGCTGCCAGAGGAGGGGAGATGCTGGGAACGAGGGGCCCACAGGCAGGGGATAGAATCCACGTAAATTCCCCCCTCCAGGGGCAGGCGCTGGGTGCAGTGGTTAAGGTACTGCTTTGAGAAGTCTCTGTCCAGGGGCCGGCACTGCGGCGTTGAAGGTTAAGCCTCTGCCTGTGGCGCTGGCATCCCATATGGACGCTGGTTCAAGTCCCAGCTGCTCCTCTTCCAATCCAGCTCTCTGCTGCGGCCTGGGAAAGCAGTAGAGGATGGCACAAGTGCTTGGGCCCCTGCACCCATGTGGGAGACCCAGAAGAAGCTCCTGGCTCATGGCTTCAGCCTGGCCCAGCTCTGTCCGTTGCAGCCTATTGGGGAGTGAACCAGCGGATGAAAAATATCTCTCTCTCTGTCTCTCTCTCTGTAACTCTGCCTCTCAAATAAATAAATCTTTAAAAAAAAATAATCTGTATCTTCCAAAAGTGAACTGCAAAGAGAAAAAAGATGGGAAACGCAGAATATTCAAGAACTGCTGGATAACTACGAAGTCATAAATACGCATGACGTGAACAGGAGGAGAGAGAGGCACGGGGGGCAGCCTTCGAAGCCATGACGACGACCGGAAGTTTCCTCCAAGCTTAAATCAGACGCCAACCCACACTCCTAGGGCGCTGAGGGAGCACCCACACTCCTAGGGCGCCGAGGGAGCACCCACACTCCTAGGGCGCCGAGGGAGCACCCACACACTCCTAGGGCGCTGAGGGAGCACCCACACACTCCTAGGGCGCTGAGGGAGCACCCACACTCCTAGGGCGCTGAGGGAGCACCCGGCAGGGTAAATGCAGAACAGTGATCACAGGCATAACGCAGCCACTCTCATATTCACAGCAGGTTCAAACTTCCGAAAACCAGAGATAAAGGCACAAAAACAGAAAGAAGACGGAGAAAACGCCTTCCTGATAGGGAACCAGTAATACCACATCCAACTTCTCTGTCCACACCACACCAGCAAGACGACAGTGGAGCATAATATGCATAAAGCGTTGAAAGATAAACAACTTTGCATTCTTTTTTTTTTTTTTAAGATTTATTTATTTGAAGGTCAGAGTTACACACAGAGAGAGGTCTTCCATCCACTGATTTACTTCCCAAATGGCTGCAACAGGTTGGGCTGGGCGAGGCCGAAGCCAGGAGCCAGGGAGCTGGGTCAGAGTGGAGCAGCTGGGACGTGAATCCAGTGCCCATATGGGATGCTGGCGCCGCAGGCTGGGCTTTCACCCGCTGCGCCACAGCGCTGCCCTCTAACTCTTTCAAATAAATCAATACAGCTCTGAAAAAATATAAAAGGAAATTCTTCACATGAAAGAAAAATTGCATGTCAGACCCTGCATCCACATAAAGAAAGAACACCAGAGAACGAACCAGCGAAAGTAAAATAAAAACTTTGGGTTTTGTTTTCACTTATTTTTTTTTAATTTGAGAGGCAGACAGAGAGGCAGACGGGTGGAGACCCATCCCCCCATCCCGCCCACTCGCTCACCCCACAGTGCCTGTAACATCTGAGGCTGGGCCGCAGAGCCAGGAGCTGGGGTCTCAACCCGGGCCTCCCACGTGACGGCAGGGATCTAAACAGTGGGTCCATCACCTGCTACCTCCTAGGGTCTACACTAGCAGGAAGCAGAGCCTGGATTCAAACCCAGGTACTCTGATATGACACTCGGGGGTCTTAACTGGGGTCTTACCCACTAGGCTAAACACCTGCCCCTATTTTTCTTATTCTTAATTTATCTAACAGATAACACTGTACCCAAATGATAGCAATAATGTACACAATTATGCATGCTTACGTACACACCCTAGGCATGCGTGTGTGCATGCGTATGTGCACGCTCCTACATAACGGGAATGAGTGACAGCACACACGAAAGACGAGAGGAGGAATTACAAGCATTGTCTTATTCAGAGGCACCTGTACCACCTGTGAGGCAGCACCGTGTTATCGGAATACACTGCAATTAGTTGCAAATTTACATTTGCTACCTCTAAGGAAACCACTAAAAAGAGCTAAAAAAAAGTATCATTTATATATTAAGAAAGGACAGAAAGTAGAAGAATATAAAATGCTCAGCTAGAACCACAAGGACTGGTGTTGTGGTGTAGCGGGTAAAGACGCTTCCTGCAACACTGGCAACACTTTGTGTGCCGGTTCGTGTCCCAGCTGCTCCACTTCTGACCCAGCTCCCTCTAATGGCCTAGGAAAAGCAGAGGAGATGGCCCCAGCGTTTGGACCCCTGCACCTATGTGGGAGACCCGGATGAAGCACCTGGCCCAGCCCTAGCTGTTGGGGCCATCTCGGGAGTAAACCAGCAGATGGAAAATTTCTCTGTCTCTCCCCCCCTCTTTCTGTATAACTCTTTCAAATACAGATATAAATCTTTATTAAAAAAAAAAAAACCTCAAAAGGCAGAAAAAAAAGAAGACAAAAATAGGAACGAAGAACAAGAACAACCAACAGTAAGCTAATAGATGTGGTAGACACTGACCCAACATATCAATAATCACTTTAAATATCAATGGTCTAAATACAGCAGTGGAGAGGTGGTAGGACAGGTGTTGGTACAGCAGTTAAGATGTCTCGGGGGACACCCAATCTCAAATTGGGGTGCAGGAGTTTGACTTTGAGTCCCACCAGCTCCTAATTCTAGCTTCCTGCTAACATGCACCCTGGGAGAAGCAGGTGATGTCTCAAGTAGTTGGGTCCCTGTCACCCACATGGATCTTGGCTTTGGCGTAGCCCAGTCCTGGCTGTTGTTGGTATCTGGGCATTGACTCAGCAGATGGAAGATTTCTCTGTCTCTTTCAAATACAGTTTTTAAAAAATATTATTTATTTGAGAGGCAGAGTCACAGACACAGAGAGGGAGAGACAGAGAGAGATCTTCCATCAACTGGTTCACTCCCCACATGGCTGCAAGGGTCAGAGCTGGGCTGATTTGAAGCCAGGAGCTTCTTCCGGGGTCTCCAATGTGGGTGCAGGGGCCCAAAGGGCCAGCTTCCACTGTTTTTCCAGGCCATAGCAGAGAGCTGGGTTGGAAGAGGAGCAGCTAGGACATAAACCAGTGCCCACATGGGATGCCAGTGCCACAGGCGGACGTTCAGCATCCTATGCCATAGCACTGGCCCCTCAAATACATTTTTTAAAAGATTTATTTATTTCTTTGAAAGTCAGAGTTACACAGAGAGGTAGAGAGAGAGGTAGAGAGAGAGAGAGAGAGAGGTCTTCCATCTGCTGGTTCACTCCCCAATTGGTTGCAACGGCCAGAGCTGCGCCAATCCGAAGCCAGGAGCTTCCTCAGGGTTTCCCACACGGATGCAGGGGCCCTAGCACTTGGGCCATCTTATACTGCTTTCCCAAGCCATAGCAGAGAGCTGGATTAGCATTGGAGCAGCTGGGACTCGAACTGGTGCCCATATGGGATGCTGGCACCGCAGGCAGTGGCTTCACCGACTACGCCACAGCGCTGGCCCCCCTCAAATACATTTAAAAAAAAAATTAAAAGATGAGGATTGTCAGAGTGGACTAAAGAGTAAGATAAAACTATATGTTGTCTATAAGAAACTGACTTTAAACATAAAGACAAATATAGATTGAAAGTAAACAGAGGGGCCGGCGGCGTGGCTCAATAGGCTAATCCTCCACCTGCGGCGCTGGCACACCGGGTTCTAATCCCGGTTGGGGCGCTGGATTCTGTCCCCGTTGCCCCTCTTCCAAGTCCAGCTCTTCTTGCTTGTGGCCAGAGAGTGCAGTGGAGGATGGCCCCAAGTGCTTGGGCCCTGCACCCCCATGGGAGACCCAGGAGAAGCACCCTGGCTCCCTGGCTTTTGGATCAGCACGATGCGGGCGGCCCACAGTGGCGATGGCCCACGGTGGCCCATTGGAGGGTGAACCAACGGGTAAAGGAAGACCTTTCT